TCTGACCCAGAACTGCATTCCCATTTCAGGTGAGCTGCCAAGAAGCCAGGCACAGCTGGAAGTGACCTTCCTTTCTCTGTGCCACACTTACTCCCTGGCTTAGCACTCTTTTGACGCCTTGCTGGCCTGATTAGCTGAGCTGTTAGGAGACCTTGGAGAATTGGCAGCCATTTTCCAATCATGGGAGTGCACCACTACTGTCAAATAGTGATTATTTTTCTGCTACCTCCTAGAATTAAGCATACTCCTCACATCCCAAGGGTGAAAGGTGGGAACACAAGATCTCTTTCCTTCAAAGTGTGTATATTAATCTGATGGCTGGAATGTCTTGGTTTCATAGAAAAGCAAAGAGAGCCCATGAAAACTTAAGGTGTGCAATACTGAAATGCCTGTTCAATTCTGTGGAAATAATTTGGTTAGGCTTTTAAACAAATACTGTCTGTTTTGCTAGGAGTTTAAGCTCTTCATTTTTTAAACAACATTCTCATTGATTTACAATTAAGCAATACATTTAAGGGTGTGAAACCTAGGGTTCCTCTTCCTCAATAAATCCTGCTTATGGTCCTCCCTTTTATCCTGGGTACAGTTTTAAGTCTGTATTACACCATTTCTTCCATGAAATGTGTGTACTACCAACTATTTGCAGACATTGAATAAGAAGCACTGTGTAGAACAGTATGTTTTCAAAGGTTAGCAATAATCTCTCAATAAGTAATTTATCCAAACTTAGTGGACACTTACCAGAACCAGTAATATTGTATCTGGACACTAAGACCTATAATCTCATGACCTCAGTTTCCATATATCCCCACAGACAATGAAAAATAAGCTTATTTATATTCTAGCCAAATGCATGAGATGTCTGAGGTTCTCCCCATAGTGCCTATGACCATCTTTTAATTTTTAGAATTAGAGAGAAGAATTAGAAGCTGAGAGACAAATGATAGATACAGATACAGTTTATATTCAGTTTTTATTCACAGTTCATTCTGGGCTGAGGAAATGTGGTTTAAATTATGACAGTAACTTTGAAGAAGAGAGAGAGTTTGTAGTATATAACATCCACACCATTGTGGGGACTGGAAAGTTTGCTAAACCTTTAGATTTCATTCCTTTGGTAGAAATAAAGTGGATGCTTTTAAGCACTTTGTTTTGTGAAAGGTTTTCATGTAGGCCACTTTGGGCTTGGACCCCTTATGCAGTTAAGAATGATGCTGAACTCCTGATCCCCCTGCCTCCACCTACCAAGCATGGGAATTAGGTGTGGGCCACATGGAAGTCCCTTCAAGATCTGGAGGATAAACATACTACTTTTCACATAGAGAAGGAAACAGGTGTCTTTTTTTTTTAACAATGTTTCTTCCTTAGCCAAGGCATCTATATAGGATCATTATTAGAATGCTGGAGATTTTGGAGAAGAAAATTGAGAAAACAGATATAACTTCTACTTCAGAGCTTCTCTTCTTCGAATAGTATGCCCCAAAGATTGAGCATAGTTTATCATATGAATGTTCCTTTGATAGTAGCAGAATTAAAACTAAAGTGTTTGAATTCAAGGTCATGGTGGTCCATATGGGCTGTTAACTTCATAATTGTGAACTGTAATGTGATATGAGGTAAGCTCTGCATTCTGAAAAAAGTTATAGTTAAGTAGTAGATTCATGTATGTTGGTCTGTCAACCTATACAATATCACTAGCAAGGATCATCTAAAAAGCAAATGAGCTAGTAAGTATTCTGACAAACACAACCATCTATGTTTTTTTTATTTGAGAATTTCATCATGCATAGAATGTGTTTTGATCAAATCCTTTCCTATTCCTTCCCCTCAATTCCAATTCCTCCCCTAATCACTCCTACACTTCCCCCTCCCCTCTAATTTTTCTTGTGTTCTCTCTCTCCCTCTCTCCCCCTCTCCCTCCCTCTCTCCATCCTTTCCCTGCCTCCTCCCTTCTCTCCTCACTGAGTCCACTTTGTGCTGCCTTAGACCCATCAGGTGGAGCACTAGTAGCCTCCCAGTGGCCGCCTTTCTGATGAAAACTAACTCCTTTTCCCATCACTAGTCATAATCCCCTCATTTAGAGGTGAGATTATATAGTGTTCTACTTTAAAATGAAAAGACAAGATAATCTGATGGCTATAACTAGGTACAATCATACTGAGGGAAGGAGAAAGGGGGTGCAAAAATTTGGAAAGAACAAAGCAAATTATGATGACAGGTGCATCTGATAGGGGCTGAAAGGAACAAGAGAGAGTTGGGTCTAAAGTGAACAGCACTGTGCTCCACTCCGATCTTTTCTTTGGCTCTAGCTCATTTGTATCTTATGACAATATTTACCGTTCCTCTTCTGCTTTAAAAGGAAAAAAAATGCAGATCTATGATACACGTTTCATCTTGGTAAATTCAATTTGAAAATGTGTGAGAGAAATATGCCTTTTAGGATTTGCAAGCAAATAAAAACTAGAAGTAAATGTTCTCTGAGCTTCTAATGGATGTGATCATAGATATGATGTAGGTCATGCTAGATATTTGACTTTGGATGTTAAGAATAAAATCATTATGTAGAAGTCACATTTTCTGATTAACCTTTTTTAAAGTAGTACAATCCAACAGAAAATTACATAAGCCATAAGTGTTAGCTGTGTACCCAATTTTAATTTTCTAGTAATCAAACTTACCAAAATAACAAAAGTAAACAAAAGATATATTTACCTAGATAATGGTCACATTATATTAACATGTAATAAACATAGAATTTTGTAGTATTACTACACATCCTATTTCTTGTACAAAGTAATTAAAACTATATAAGCTAAAATGGGTTCTCATTTTGATAACTACTTCCTAAATTTCAAACAAATAGCCTAATTATTGCCACTGGTTGCCATATTGGATTGGATAATGTAAGTATAAGTTAGCACTATATAAACATTATGTTGTCTAGAACTGAAAGAGTTTATAAAATAATTTTGAATTTGTCAGACCAAAAAGTCAGAATCATAAAGAAATTACAGAAAAAGGATGCATCCTGCCTCAATTTCTGCTGACAGAAGTGCTGATAAAGAATACACTCAGAGGAGATCTCTTATCCACTGCCTACCTCATGTCTTATCTCATTCATGGTAATATACTCCCACATCAAATGTTTAGAGCATTTCTGAATAACATTTTTGACAGTGTGAAATGATTAATAATTGAATAAGTTTGGGGCTGAATTAAAGTCAACTGGCTGACAAAATCATCTCTCTCTGTCTACACACACACACACACACACACACACACACACACACATTACTTAATATATATCCATATATTATAATTAGAAAATAATGCAAAACTACCCTGGCTAAGCCAAATATTCTGTTACAAAACACAGAACTACTGCTATATTTTTACCTCTTGTCTTCAGAATGTGTTCTATGTATTTTCACATTAATATAATTTGGTCTGTTTTATTTAATTTTCTGTTCATTTGCCTCTTCTTTCTGCCTTAGCCAAGGCAAAGGATTGTGTCTTCCTTAATACCAATGCTTATATATTGCAATTAGGCAAATGTTATTATATTAAAATGCATAATATATTTATTTTTCTTTATTTTGATACAATGCTGTGTGTGCTGTATGTATGCACATGCAAAAAGCCTAGGACTTCCAATTTCATTTACATTTTCTGTGCAGGGAGCCCCTGGGATGTACCTGCCTATACCCCTGCTTTTTTTCTTATGCTGAGGTTACAGGACAGAGATGCCACAATAGATTCTCTGAAGGTTTTGGTGACATAGACACAGGTCCTCATTCTTGAGCAGTGGACATTTTATTTACTGAGCATTTCCTATCCTTTGAAATTCTTATTATGAGAAAAATGTTTCAAGCTCCTTTCACTTGAAGACATAGTAGACCTTTTATTTAACAGGACACCATTTCTTTCTCCTCTAGCACACCATATATTGAATAAATTCTCATGTGTTGTTTTTGCTGTACTTTGTAAAAAAAAATCTCTTAATGTTTGACTTTCTATTGGTCATTTGTATCCCACTGGTTCCTGCGGCCCCATGGTCCCACAGCACCTCAGACCCAAGTAAACACACAGAGTCTTATATTAATTGAAACTGCTTGACCATTAGCTGAAGCTTACTACTGACAAACTTTTACACTTAAACTCAGGCTATTACTGTTAATCTATGTGTTGCCACATGTTCTGTAACTTTACCTGTGTGCCATTACATGGTGGTCCCTGGATGGCAGCCTGGTATCTCCTGACTCAGCCTTGCTCTTCCCAGAATTCTCCTTGTCTGCTTATCCTGCCTATACTTCCCGCCTGGCTACTGGCCAATCAGCGTTGCATTAAACCAGTATACAAAAGCATTATCCCACAGCAGTCATTTCCATTGTTATGAGATCTTCCTTTTCTATTTAATCATCTTCAAGCTCAATGGTATAATATTTTCAATTTTCTAACTTCAGAAGAGTGATTAAAAATTATTTCTTGTCTTTTTCTTGTCCGAAGTGTTTGTTCTCCACCTTGGTCTATTTAACTCTGATCAGAACATATTTGTAAACAGTTGGAGACCCATTCCATTAGCATTACTTGGGATGGGAGGAGATGTGCCATTGTCTATTAAATACTAGAATGAAGAGTTGAGATGCTTAAATTGCACAGGATAGCTGTACAGAAACAATAATACCTAGGCATGATGAGCTAAAAATGCTACTCTAACTCGATAATCTACCTGTAAAATATTAATTTATTTCCTCTTTAGGGTGATCATTAAGTAGAAATGTATGCTTCTTTTGTCAATAATATATACTTTGCTTCATTGTAATTGAAAATATTTAAGTATGTATAAAACTTGGGGTAATTAATCTAAACTACCAGGTTGAAGAGGATGAGCCACTCATCAATTAATCATGTTTTGTTCAACAATAGTAGATGTAATGATAGTTTCTATGAAGGTCACAGTGAAGTTTTATGAACTTGATGTATGTTTATCTATTTTATAGGTCTCTTTAGATGGAATGTAATAAAGCAGAGGCCTCCAGAGCATCAATGTGTGAATTACTATCTCTTCACTAAAACGGAAAGCTCAGTGGTCACAGCCACAGACATCTCAACCCTGGATCCCACGACTCTACATTAAGTACTGGAGTATTTATTACTCTACTGTGGGAGAAAGCCTTTGCCAATGCTTACAAGGAACTCTTTATGTCTGCTTCTCTGGATCCTGTTTGATGGAGGTCTCCTAACACCACTTCAGTCACAGCCACAACAGACTTTAGCCACACAACCAAAAGAAAATGTTATCCACCTTCAGGGGAGACGATCCCATTTCCAACGGGTTAAACGTGGCTGGGTATGGAATCAGTTTTTTGTGCTGGAAGAATACATGGGCTCCGAACCTCAATATGTGGGAAAGGTAATGCTGTATTTCTTTTTACAACCATTTGATAGGATGGGAGTTGGGGGTATGAATTATGTATTGCAGATGGATGTTTTGCACAAGAGTTGAACAAACCAGTGACTAGACCACTGTAATTGAAATGCAACAGACTTGGTTTCTCTTCCTGAGTCTAGCCTCCATAAACCTTGCAATATCCCTTTCCCCCTTCTTACTCCTATTTTCCAGTTCATCTATTGTTTTGATAAAAATAGTCTATATTTTGTTTTCATTTTTGATGACAAGAATTTTAAATGCTTAGATTACATTAAAAGTGTAAGGATAGTGTATTACTGCTGACAGACAGGATGTACTTGTTGTCCATTTCCAGACTCAAGGACAAATGGCCAAGCATAAATACTATACGTTGATCAGATAGTCCTTCCTTTTGTGATGTGTTCCTACTCCTTTCCCTTTAAGATGTGACATACTACATAGAGTTTATTTCTAATATGTTGGTTTTGTCTTGCTCATGTTTCACCAACAGTTCTCTTGAATGTATTATTTATTTATTTACTTACTTATTTATTTATTGTATGTGTATACCTTTCCGAGTACAAATGCCATATAGTGTGGGTATGGGGTCAAAGGAAGGGTTGGGTGAGTCTACTGTCTCTGTTCACCTTGTAGGTTCTAAGGATAAAACTTCAGGTCACTGTGTTTGGCAACATACCAGTTTAGCCGGCTCTCACTGGCTAGCACAGCACACTCATTTTTTTTACTTTTTTTTTTTTTTTTTTTAGTACAGTTACAATTTTATTAGCGCTTAAAAGAAAAACACCCAAAGGCAGACAAATATCAGCAGCTGTATAGGTGCATAGAAGAGAAGACTGGAGAAGAAACTAAAAATAATAATTAGTTAATTAATTAACAAAGCAAACAAAGAATAAAGTAGCATGTCTTTTGAGCTCCTGACATGGATGTCTGCCACATGGCAACCATCACATGATGAGAAGGGGGATGCAGTGAAAAGTGAGCAAGTCAGAGGTATGAGAGCCAGCATGCTTAAGTTCTTGTCAGCACTGGCAAGAAAGGGCTGAAAATGAAATAGGAAAATTAATCTAACCTTCTGAGGAAAGTGGGAAAGCCCATCCCAAACTCGTGTATCCTCAGACTGACTTATGGACACTATGCTAGTGGACAGGAATTACCTTACATATCTCTTCAGCATGCCTTATGGTGAGTGTACCTTTCTTCCTACTGATGTTCTCTGTTCCTGGGGGGTAGTTGGAAGTCCTTTAATGAAGTGATTGAACAGAAAAACTGGAATATTAGGTCCTCACCTAGGCCAGAGATTCCTTCTCTTGACCACCATATTTCCTTCAATAGACCATGGTTATATCTCTAACATCTGGCTAGCACTGTACACTAATTTTTACCACTTTATGTTTTAGTCCAGTTAAATTTTTGAAGAAGTAATCGTTTAGGAGTTTGGAGAATCTATGCAGGATACTTTTACCTGAAAGGTCTAGCAACTGCATAAATAATTTTGCTTATGTTTTGTTTGTTGCAATGTGACCGATTTCAGAATATATAGAATGTATGTTTTTATGAAAAACAACAACAAAAAGCTATTCCCATCAGAAAGTAATTACTTTACTTCGATTATGTGAATTTTTTATTTTGTAAAAAATAACTGTTATTAAGATATAATTACATCAGTTCCCCAACTCTCCATATTGGCCCTAATTCTCAACCTTTTGATCTTTTTTCTTTGATTATTATTACTATACATACCCCACACACACATGCACCCACGTATATAAATACACTAATGTATTTACTGCAATCTGTTGATAGAAAGACATTAACTTATTTTGAAGTAAATCTACAAACAGAAGTTGCAATAATAGCAATGAAATAACTTGGAACTAACTGTATAAATAATCATATTTGATCATTATTTAAGGTAAGCATTCTGAAACCCCATAAACTAAGTAGAACATAAAAGATAGACAAAACAGGCAGAAAGTCACTGAAGCCCAAAGAGTCACAATCAAAACAGGTTACTCTCAGTGAGTACAATAATGCAATAATGACAAGAAAACTCTCAGACACTTTGGAGGTTGTACCTATAGAATGCCTAAGTCTCTGAGGGTAGTACACAAAGCTTATGTTTATATGATCCCACAATCTTATCACATAAGCCTAACAGTTAATATAAATATTTTAGGTTATGATTATTTCATGTAGTTTTTTTTTACAATTGTGTTATTTATTTATTTGATAGAATTAGAAATCCAGGGTAATAACAGGAGAATATGGCTTTCCAACCCTGCTCCACAAACATCCATTATTTGAGCTCTGCTTCTGCCTTCTGACATCACCTGAAATTTCTTATCAAAAGAATGAAGAGGCCATCATATTCTTCATTTTTGACTGAGAGAGATGCATAGACTTCAGTAACCAGAACTGGATAAAAGTAAAAATTGGTAGAAACTTTTGTGAAGATTTTTTTTTTTTTTGCATTTTCCTTGGTAGAGTATCATTCCACCCCCAATCAATAAAAATGAAATGTATATAGGGATTTGGTTTTGAAAACTATTGCTTTGGATTTTAGAACTTCATCTTTGGAATTTTAACTACAGTATGGAAATCATCTAGTTGATGGAAGGATAAACTACTTATAAATTGGATTAATGAGGATTATGTCTAATTTCTAATCTATTGCATCTAAACATCACCATTTTCTATAGGTATGTGACTTCACATTGTAATAGGTGCAAAGAATACATGGTTCTCATACCAAGATTCACTAGTAATGTAATGAAACATCAGTTGCCAATATTTCTTTTTTTTCCCAAGAAAACTAATTAAAGTTTAATTAACTCTATGTTGATGCTTTTGGTTTTGGGAATAGAATTATGGCAGCAGAGATTAATTCAAGACATTGTATGCATATGTGTAAACAAACATAAAATATTTACATTCCTTCTCTTTCTAGAAAAGGCTTTGAGACTGCTTTTAGAAAGGTTAATTAGTATGAACAATACAGGATTCAGGAATAAGAAAAATGGAAAGTTGAAAAATACCAAGAACAGTGGTTTGCTGGCTGCTTCAACAAGCCTCAAATTTGAGATTCTGTTTCTCTTTAGAAACAACATGAAATAAAAACATGATTATCAGATTTCTTCCATTGAAAACTGCATTTGGGGGAGATACTGAGTTTAATACAGTCTTACCCTAAAATGGCCTCACACTATTTAGTCAAGAAATTTTCTGGCATGGCTTACATGCCATAAATATTGCTGTTGACAACTTTAGAAGATACTGAGGTTGGCACCTAATTAAGGGAAATCATATTATGGTATTACTTATGACTAATATTAGCTTATTTCTATTCAAATAAGATGGACAAATATCCAATGATAATGGCAGTCCTTTCCTCAAAAATAACTATTTAATTTAATAAAATACCCAGGATATGTAAGATATTATTTTCTGTAATATAATATAGGTGTCTGTTTTTTTCTGTAAAATATGTTTTAGGACTTTATCAGTTAAAGCACAAGCAACAAGAAAGGAAAATAATAAGATCAGGAGCTTTGAATAAATGCACATTAACACATAATTACTTGGATTTGGACAGTGAAAGTAACTGGATGCCTATTAAATTGTTTTGACATAGTCTGGGCATATTCTCCAAGAAAATACTCACCATTTAATCTGACAGAAATTATTGATTTGTCATTTTAACAATTGGGATGGACCACAGCCGACAGTATTTCTTCAATTTGTATTTTCTAAAAGAAATACATAAAATTGAATCACATGTAGACTCTGCTTTCAAATGCATCATTTTTCTCCAACATATTTTTAATGCAGAATGCATTATAACCTGAGACAGTACTAAGTCTTCTGTGGGTTAAATGGAAATATGAAGGTCCCCAGGTTGCAATTATAATAGGTAAAATTTATTAAATGCTTCCTTTGGGCACTGTTTTAATTGCTTTCCATAGATAAACTTGCATAACCTTCAAAATAGAATTATGAAGGATCTTTATTGGTATCTTCATTTTAAACATAAGAAAACCAAGATACTAAAAATTAGGTGATATTTTAAAGCTCGTGTTTTAATTCAAATAATCATGTTTCATTGTACTAGAAATTTTTTTTCTTAACTGACAAAATTTAATAATTTTTTTGTAAGTAGTACAATAGACATATCCTTAGGGATTGTGTTGGCACAGGAAAGGATGTGATTATATGCAGAACATTGAGAAATTCAGGAAAGAATACACAGATATAAAAGAATCTGAGCTCAGTCTTGAAAGATGATATTTTTTCTTGCAAATGTAGAACGCAATATGTATTTATAAACCTTGAGTTTTCAAAGAACACTTTGATTTTAGGAAGCCATATTTTAGTACACACTAAAATGAAAACCCAATTTTTTAAAGTATCAAATTGCAGAAATATAAAATGGTTCGTTTGATGCACAGGTGATCAGTATTGTTCTCAAAAGGGTCATGTTTAGAGGACTAGCACAGAGAGAATTTCATGTAAACTGAAGACTTAACAAAGTCATGCATGTGCCTAATATGACACAATGATCTTCCATACAAGAACAGACACATTAGCCATTTCCCCAAAAGACTGTGTAAAATACTTGGATAAAATGAACATTGTCCCATAACTGACAACAAATGCTGATGAGGATATAGAGAAAAGTGAATTCATCTTCACTGTTGGGAATATTGCAAATGGGTGAAGTCAATGTGGGTATCAGTGAGAAGAGTTCTCCAAAAGCAAAAGGTGAAACTATCATATTACCCAGCTATAATACTTCTCAGCATATGCCCCAAAGATCCAATACCATACTACAGAAGGACTTTTCAGCCATATTGATTGCCACTTTATTCAGAATAGTTTCCATTGAAACAACCTTCAACTGATAAATGAATAGTGAAAATGTGGTATATATTCACATTGGAATTATATTCAAATGTAACAAAAAAGGAAATTTCTATATAGAATGA